TGTGTGTGTGGTGTGTGTGTGTGCGCGCGCGCGTGTGTGTGTGTTAATTAATTAAATTCAAGAACCACTAGACCATTGCCACCCTGTGTACAAACCCACTCGAAGCCCTTCATTATTATATAATAAATCAATTGTATAGAGTTGAATTAGTTTATACAATCATATGTGAATGTAATATTTTACTTTATTTTCATAATTGTATGGAATATAAAGTACACTGACGGCCGCAGCGTGTGACTCAGATATATTGATTCTTATACTATTAGCTTTGATATTTGACTGAAAAATTAAATTCAAAATAGTTGATACTTAACGATTCCCGCGAAACAAATTATGTGGGTAAAATAACGATACACACCTAAYTATGCCGTATTAATTTATAACAAAAATAAACGCGTAATATACTTTTAACATGACATAAGCACTTCCAATACGTCCTGTTTACGTTTTGTGAAATTCATCACCATTGAATTGAAGCTTTATGTTAATCCTATTTTGGTCTTCTAGTTATAATTAGTAGTAGGTATAGTTTTATAACCGGTGCGCTTGAAACACTTAAATTGTACTTCATCTATTTAAAAGAGAGGTACCTACGTGTTGTTTATTATAGTATGATATGTAATTCATTTGAAATCAACAAATAAAAATATAATTACTACCTAGTGATGGTTTTTAAAATATTTCCAAAGACCAAAAAATTATGAATAAAATTATATTTCACGAGACATTTAGTTTTGATGTTCTATTATAAAATAAAATACATTACAAATATAATATAATGTATAGTTAAGTGTATGATGTACATCCATGTTCGTAATAAAAATTTAATATGCTAAACATAATTTATCGTTAAACGGTTTATGCCTTTAATATAATTTTTAAACACAATGAAAATTATCTATTATTTTATGCGTATAATAAAAAACCGTTAACACGTTTTTATACTCCTCGAGCGTTTCATTTTCGCTTCGCCTTTTCCCATACAGCTAATAATAATAATTTTAAGAAGCCATTAAATTCTTATAGTTTTCTTACAGTTAGGTATCAGTGTGGTATATATGATTCATACGCACTAATATTTATCGTTGTTTGTGATATGGACAYATTAAGGCCATATATAGGTATATGCATGCATTTAGTATACCTTTGAGAACGAATAAATTATACCTATTAAATAAAACCCTGTAATGCGTGGTTTTGTAGGTCTTTTTAGAAATGACACGTTCTAATGGAATCATAATGTTTTAGAAAATCATGTGTTGTAAAATGAATACCTTTAACAGACCATTTATCAAACATTTTTTTTTTCAATAAAAATCTTCTCATATATGAAAAACAAATACTTTTATAAATTGTTTTGTGTCTATTATAATTTAAATTATTACAACATTTCAATGTTTATGATAAATATAGTGATTGCATTTAAATATAGATCGAAATTAGAATTTTCTAACTTTTGTCTTTTATACTAATATTATTATTTTTTTGTATGTTTCATTGTAGTTTTCATTTTTTTTTTCGCTTTTATATATAGATAAATATACATAGACGATCGTATGATTTCGTTTCTTTTTTGACGCCATCGAATTTTTGTACTGAATTTATTTGCTAATAACTAGCGATTTGTATGTTGTAGTAAAGAAACAGGTATACCTTAAATTTTCTGAAATGATATACCTATCAGAATATCAGTTTTCTTAAATTCTACACGTAAATACTTGCATCTAAATTATAATATATGATGTAAGTGTAAATACTAGAATCGCTATTGGCACTTGTTGGAAATCTCTCTGCTTAGCGAACAGCTGCGTGGTCCGTCACTGCAATGGTTCTCGATTTCGACCGGCYTTAAAATAAAAATTCGTGTGCCAAATGACTTGGTGTTTCCTAGTCAGCTGGCAAAGTCATCAGTAAACCTCACAGTCGTTTAACGTTTTTATGATTGGTACTACCCACGTGTACCTTCCGTAGCCGACCGTCCAGACGGTATTACGACGACGATTAGCTTAGCCCGCGGATGCTTTCCGGTTTTCAAATTGCTCCATACACTGTCCCCTCCCCCTAACACAACCAAAGCCTAGTGTGTTTAACTACTCACTCACTGGGATAAGGAAAAACCTACCTAGACGGAACGGAAAATGCGMKTGGTGCACAGAGGGATCGGACGTAGGATTATTTTCAAAAACCCAGAAAAGGGCCACTGCGCTCGCAATCGGATTACTTTACGGGCTGAGGTGTGGTAATAATTAAAGAACCGAATTCCGTGTTTTTGATTACTGTACATTTGTTTAGCGTCTATTGCGCATGTCGTTTTGTTGAAAAATCTGGGGTACCTGCCTACATGTACTTTCTGGCGACGCGAACAATTTGATTACCAAAGCAACAAATCGTTTCACTCCGAACGCACCACCATAAAATATCTTGTAATTTCACAGTGCATTGCGTGCAATTTAGTGTCGTTGTTGGCAACAACCGTTTTATATTATATTGTAACACAAAGTATAGTAAGAATATCCGTTATTATAAATAGCTGCGGCGGTGCATTAATAATTTTTAAGCAAAACTGTATTCGTATATTATAGAACGTCCACAGTCGATAAAAGTTCATTATTATAGAAAACATTTCACTACAGTTACTCATCGTGGTATGTACAATATATGTAGCTGCTTATAACCTTTTTTCGACTGKTATTAATCAGCCAAAAAGGGGTTAGTCTATACTCTTCGGAACCAATCCATGGCACTAACTGGTTGCCTGTATACCGAGTTGAATTATTATTTAAGCGAAACCTGAAAGTTTTTGTTTAAGTATTTAAAAAATATACTCTTTTTTTTTAAATTTTTAAATTTTTTTTTTTTATTGAAGATAAAAGTGTATTTACAATCTATACATACAGTGTATAATAAGTAAGTGTGGTGACTTAAAAAGAAAAAAAAATAACATTAATTACACAAAAGGAAGGCTCCCAGCAGTGCCACCTGACAAGAAATTAAAAAAAAAAATACTTATACATAAAAATAAAATTAATTTAACTAACCTATGATAGAATGACAATCAGGTTTTTATTCATAAATATTTTAATAAAATAGAGTTTTGCGAATAACCAATTTTTGTTTTTTGTTTTTTTGATATCAAATAATAATAGCACTAATAGCAGTGACATGTTTTGGATAAAAAGTTGTAGGTTTATAATTTAATGTTATATTCAAGTAGGTATGTTGTTTTCAAATAAACGTCTTATTTTAATGATATTAATAATGCAATAGGACGTATAACAAGGTATTAGGTTATAAAGCCACTTGTATCAATAAATTTCATATTTTGTTACTATTTAGTATACGTATATGCCTTTAAGGAGTGTGAATTTGGTGTAGTGATGAAAGTCAAAAGAGCTTGACGTTCAAACGTCTGAACCGTAGTTGCTATATAACATRATGTCTCTGAGCAAAGAGATATACTCATCACAGTATTCACATATATATATATATATATTGTATGTGTGGGACGTCTACGTCGACATTGAATCTTGAGTTAAAATTATGTAACTTTAATATAAATGAAATTTGATTAAACGATCAATAACCATACTATATCAATCATACATATCCTTTTCACTCACATGCGTACGGATAAACCGTATGGTATATAAGTCGTACGCTGTTAGGTGGTATCAAAATTAATCTAATTGCGTGGGAAGTATRATGTAATGCGATAATATTTTTCAAACAACAATATTTTCAAATGTTTATTTTTTTGAACTAACAGTTATTAACCTACTCATAGCGTTTTATTTATTTATTAATTATTAACGAATATTATCTAATTAAATAATATAGCTTTAAATTCTAAGTGTAACTATAAACAAATTGATTTTATAGTGTGTATTTTTTTTTCTTGTCCGTAGACTTTTTCCAGTTGAAAATATATTCTGATGATCAACTTTGAGGGAAGTTTCTTGTAACTAATTGGCTGTGTAGTTGGTTTATAGTTGGTACTTTTGGAAGATCAAAATTGAAAATTATCAGTACTCTTTAAATAATCGAGAAACACTAAAATAAAAATAATACGAAAATTTGTTAAAATGTTTATAATTTTTTATTAAAATTACCTTGGTTTGCAATTTGCAAATTTCTGAATAAACATTTTAAATATTTTAAAGTTTCAACTACTGATTCTAATTATTAAAAAAATGTTATGTAAAAGTAAATCTTTTAGTGTTGTCTCCGACAGTCAACAGTCAACCTTGATGATACCCTCAGGTCTTCAACGTTTGTCCCTGGAAAAGGTTTTTTTACTTCAGTGTTATAAAAAGTATTTGAAAAACATAATATAATTGTATCTAACTATGTAGGTTTTATAGGGTTGAAAAATATTTATAATTCTCTGTTCCTCAATCAAATTGTGCCGCCATCGTATTATACTTTGGTTCAACGGGGCTTTTGCATTAATTTTGCTCCAACAGAATACTCAAAACTTTCTTAAACAATCCGGGTGGAATTCCCACATTTTAGACAGACTGTATAAGCTGAGAGAAAATTTGACAGTACTTCATACATCTGATGCATTAAAAATGCCACACAATTACGATAATCGAGTTATTTCAAGTTGAATACTCGACTTCGTCTTATGCCATCGGCGTCGTCCAACACAACGTTCCGCCTCCGCAGCGATTGTCCCCGTGTTCAGTAATTCGCTTAAGTGCTATTTTCGTAATCGAAAAGAGTCCCGTCTTGATAATTTATTGACAGCGGAATTCCCTAAACAATTAGGATATCCGTTACTGTTGCGTGTATTATAATTTCACGTTAGTCTCTCTCGTCGCTTTATTCTTTYTGACAAAATGTCAACCATGCTAAAATAAAATTATCGACTTAAGTTACGTTTTTATATTTATACAAGCAGAYATTTTGTTTCCCGATCGACGTCAAWTGCGTTGTCGTGCGAAAATATTTTATAATTTTGAACTCGGATAATGTAATGTACGTCTTGTTTGTTTCAGTTCGTCGAGTGCCACCGCAGTTTTCCATCCCTCCGCCCACTATGGAGAAAGTAAAAGTCGGCGAAAACATCAGCATACCGTGTGTGGCCGTCGGTTCACCKATGCCGTACGTAAAATGGCGCCGAGGAAAGACAACGGAACTCTCGCCGGAAGACAAGTTGCCCGTGGGCCGGAACGTGTTGAACTTGACAAACGTTGAGGTTTCCGATAATTATACGTGTATCGCAGCCTCGTCTCTGGGCATGATTGAAGCGACGACTTTCATTAAAGTCTTGAGTAAGTTAACTTTTAACGTAAATTAAACGCGGCCCCGTCTCTCTCCTCTCAGCCACGCAGCATACATTATTATAATATAATTATTACGATATCATGATATCTGTTCAGCAGTGATCGTCAAAAGATAAAACTATTATATGCTAAGGATTTATTAAACTAATTAAACCCGTACTATATATATATACAATAATATGCATACATGTACCTACCTGCCTATATTATATAATATTATCTACTTTAAGTACCTATACCTACTACAGTGATTATTAGATATCTAGTGGAACTTAACTCGTTAAGGGTTAAGTGTAATTAAAGTTAGTGGGAATTCCTATCACATTCAATGCATATAGTAGTAATATAAGCCTCACCATCTATATTGATTAGATGTTTTCAAGTTCTTCAGATATCGGTCGCCAACCTCGCATTTCATTCTGAACAATTGCGATTTGTATTAAATTACATTGACGTGTGTGTGTAATACTAGATACTCCGTTATTGAATATTATATTATATGGTGCATTGTATAGTATCGAATCGTTAATGCAAGTTTGGAAACTGGATAATAATACAAAGAGCATGGTATACATTCTTAATACATGATACGACATTGACKAGGACTTAAATTATTATAGACATTTTTATGATGATATAACGCGCAGGAATAAATATTTTAAAAATCGTATTTCTTTGAACTCATAAAAAGTAAAACACTGCGTGATATTAGAGAAACTCATTTTTCCTCGTCAAACATGAAAAACGAATTCTACTAAATCTTATTTTATGCATTTAAGAGGATACAATTTCGTCCATGGTGTTTATTTTTGGTACCTATCCAAAACAATTTTACTTCAATAAATGGTTCAATTTTTAAAATTATTTTTATTTTATAAAGCATCACGTGTCACATTATATTAAAACGTTTCTTTCGAGTTCGTATTTTTTTAATTTTTTTTTTTTTTTATGCTACTATTCGCTATTATACATTCTATAATGTATTGTATAATACATGGGCTTTAAACTACATATATTTAACGCTCCCAGTTCTTATTTTCAAAAATGTCCTTTGTTCTTATTCACYCGTTTGCCTTTTTTTTGCTCATCGATTTCTTTATTTAACTACAGTGAAATGCGGTGTACACAATGTGCATTATATATTACTTATTTGTTAATTTCGTCGAAATTCTATTTGGTTTTCGTCTCGATTGTAAACCGATTTTAAAGGTAATCGACTTTTTGGTTTGTATGATTTATATATTTATTATACTCCTGCTGCAGATGGTTATCCCACGAGGATTTTATAAGTGATATATGTAAATACGTTTAAAGGTTTTATTATACGAATTTCACTATTCTACCGTTTCAACTTTTAAATGTATGTTCCTTGTACTTGGTTGAAAACTAGTGAAAACGTTCACACTTATAATAATATTTCTAGAAATGTAAAATGTTGCGACGACGTGATAACATCAATTAAATTAATCAAATAATCATTTAAGGAAAAAATTATTCACCTTACCATTTGCACTTGCATGTAATAGCAAACTTCTCCGAGATCATAATAATATATTATTTAAATTACAAAAAAAAGTTAAACATTTTAAATATTCGTAATACTCAATTTATTATAAATGTGCAATTATTTTAACGTTCCCAAATCATCGCAATTCTATTCTTTACCGTGTCACCGCTTATTGTGTWTGTGATRGTCTTTATACGGCTTATATGCGATTTCCAGAAACTTCGGGTAGGTTGCATCATTAGAGTTCTGTCCAATGTAACCTATATAGTAATATTGTATAAAATGTGAAATCTTTTGATATATTCATGGCTAAATAACTATAGGTATGATCACATAATTAGTAACTTTGGTTCAATGAATGCGCATTCGYGGAAAAATCAACTTAATCAACTAATTTATCTTTTCCACCTTTGATATACTTATATGACGTCAACTGGCAGTAAATTTTTAGAATCCTGCCTGACGGGTTATTATGATTTTCCGTACCTAATTGATATTTAAGAATTCCTTCCGGCTGACGTCATCATTGACACGATCACGTATCGCCCGGAACTAATCAATCACTACTCAATGATGGATATATATTGATGTAGAATATTTAACATAACCGTATAGTAGATATATATACGTACAACCTAGATCGTTTACTTGTTCTCATAGCACTGCCCAGTCCGCCTATCGACGTCAAAGTGTCGGACGTGACGTCCACGTCGGTCAAGCTGAGCTGGTCGCACCCCAATCCGGACGACATACAGTACTACACGATATCACACAAACCCAGGTCGGCGTCTCAGTCGCCGGGCGTCATCAGCGGCGTGGTCACCATGTACTACACCATACGGCCGCTCAGCCCTTACACGCAGTACGAGTTTACTATATCGGCCGTCAACGGGTTCGGTCACGGGCCACCGTCGCCGCCCATCGTGGCCACCACCGGAGAGACAGGTAACATAACGTGAAACAAACTACCGTGGCAGATCCCGCCAATTCTTCGTTGTTTTTTTTTCAGCATTTTATAAAATTATTACAATTTTATTACTGCAGTGGTGCTCTGTCTCCCCGTTGTTGTTGTTCGTGACCCGAAAGCTAAATATTATGATAATTTAAGAGACAATCATATTGTTTTCGGTAAGGGATCGTTGTGGGGTCTGAATTCACGGGTCTGTGTATTGTATAATACACGTGAACACAGTCATCTCATTTTTAGAATTACCTACCGCCATCGTATGTATTATTGTACGCAGTCTAACCTATTGACATTTTTGTACCGCGTTTCTGTTATTGTTAAATTATTTCTGTTAATACTTTTTATGTTCTATCGTGTCGTAACGAAATCAATGCAGGGTGGTTACATAAAATATTGTATAGGTACTTATTATTTATATATAGTTATCCACGGTCCATCGTCGTAATATGTAATCACGTCACTGCAGCTGGTGGCCATCATCATAACGACATTATAATACGCGTTCCCGTCGAGTGTAAATTCTGTATAGCAAGATTAAATAATATCTCAGCTAAAAAGTCTATATCCAGTAAATGTCCAATTGTTCGTACGGTGATGGGTGGTATAGTTAGATAGACTGTCACGTTCAGAGGTGTGTGACGGAAATCCATTAGGATAATGGTTTTTCAATTACATCTATTGACGTTATCATTATTATTTACTTGTTTATTTTTTGTATATTATTATTATTATTATTATTATTTTTTTTTTTTTTTGGTCAAATAACAGCTTGAACAAACTTGCGTTTTTTATTATTATCATTATTATTTTTTTGGACAGAAGAAGTCTTTTATTGTTGTTTTAATGAGAACAACAACAACGGGGGAAAAGCACATATATACAGTCACACAGTGGTGGTGTATATATTTAGCTTATTCAGTAAAAGTGGAAATTTCAAAATGGTTAATTTCCCAGTCTAATTAGAAAACTAATTAATGGTKCCAGAGGTCGAATGCCTTTATTCTTAAACTTTTCCCGCCAAAAAAAATATATTCTTATTCTTTTTTTTCCACTGTGAGCTTTTAATTAATTTTTGACCAACGACCGAGAGCCTGAAAAACGTGTTATAAAAGACGGTAGTCTTGAATATAAACGCAACTCCTTTTATCTCCATCCATAATAACTTCTCTTCCTAAAAAATTAATGTTTTTATATGTATTTCATGCTACATTTGAACATGTTTTTAACGGATAAAATTTCGTTAAAAAAATATATACTTATCTAAGTAAGTGCGCGAATATTTTGATGTTTAAATGTATACACTATTTTTAAATTTTTTTTTTGATGTTTTGCACCTTTTGTGTTTTGATTGCACTTTTTTGACGTATGTAGATTTTGCACAGTATATATACTATTACCTATTTAAACGAGGAGATGATAAGTCTCAATCAAACTCACAGTAGTGATTAAGCATAGCACACGACTATACTAATTACCTATTACTTTTCTTCTTTCTGCCGTTTAGTACCTATATAGTATACATAAATATATATAGTTGTTTTTGTTTTGATGTGTATAATATATGCTGCACAATATTTTTTTATTTTTTTTTTTTGAAGTGTGGTTTTTCACATTTTAAGAGTATTACACGCCATTTGAAAGAAGTCCGTTAAATCTTTCTCACCAACGAACGTCGCGGTATACGTATATAGTTACAAGATAAATACCTTTTTTCATTGTTTTTTGTTTCGTTTTCAATTGGCCTGATGTTGAAATCAGTATCGACAGTATCGTAAACCAACAATTAATCAAGAAGTAAAGTGTTTCGATTAATATTTCATAATATTGTCATGCAAATGTGTAACATTATGTTACCTATGGTAATAATATAACATAGAATTATTGACGACAAAACTTTTTTTTAGTTGAAAAAACCCAGTTGTTTAATAATCAGTAGGTATATCGTGGTAATTATTGAAATAGTTAGGTAACTAAAAGAATCATACCCAAACACAACAAATAATTTACATATTATCCGAATATCATAAAAACTTGGTAAAATAATTTATTATATATAAATTGTGAAAAAATAAAAACTTTTAACCAAACACTCGAGATCGTAWTTAAATTTTAATTAAACTTTTTAATCCAAACCTAAAATAATTATAAGATTCTGATGAAAAAAAAATATTTGCGTTTTATCGTCCCCATTTTAAACCCAATATTATCGATTCTTATTATATTCTGTATATACACTATGCTGTTATTGCTTTTTGGGGCGGTACGGTGATTATAAATTAAACATACATAATATTATAATATATACGTGTACAAGCTAGTTCAGTTTAGGTTTTGCGTGTATAATATTATGCAGTGTTCAATCGGGCAAATAATTAACACCGCCGTGTATAATAATATCTTTATGAAACATTTAGCTTTTATGATGAGAATGTCCCCGCAAACAACACGGTAAATACAGCATTGCACATAATATTATTATTATTATTATTATCATTATCTCTACTGTGTCCCATAATATTCGTCGTACAGATGACAACCCATTAGCTAATTACATTCTGACGTGTCTCAACGTATACCTACGCCGTAGTAATATAATGTATGCCGGGGAAAAAATAATGTACAATCATAAGGGAAGGATTTATCAAATAAATATAAATCAAGGCTTTTATTATTATTTTCATTTCGTATGCATTCGTGTGTACTTACGCGTATGCCTYCCATAGAATATGTAATAATTATAATATTAATATTATAGCATTGCCATCGGCAATCGATTGTTTTTATTTTCATTTCAAACGGAGGTCCCCTGCCGTCATCCACTCACTCRCCTTACCTCGCTCGCTTTATAGCAACCCTCGTTACACTAAAACTCACGGACCACAACCTATTGATTTAGTTAATTCAATTACTGTCATCGTCATATTCATCATCGTAATCGTCGTCGCTGTTATTGTTGTTGTGTGGCGCAGTATAGTTATGCGAGAAAATATAGTTTGAATTTTATTTCATTCAATCCCCCTGCTGTCGCCGTTTCACTTCTCAATTTAGTTGCGATTATACATATAACAGTATATATCCCAGATCATTGGAAACTCAATTTTAATCATATCAATTTTCTATTCAAATACGACCTTTTTAAACTTGTAAAACATGTGCACATTTTTTTTTTTTTAATCAGCCATTATAAAACATTATCTAATATAATAATCGGATTAAACCCGGCTATTACATTTTCTAAATACCTATTATTTTTTGTTGTTCATTTTTTAATAAMATTTTTAATGAAAAGATCGAATATTAAAAATGTACAAAAATTTGCACATTTTTTCTGAGTTTATACAAATAAGTTAAAAAATGAAACCAATTATTCATTTCCCATTTCAAGCCAATACAGTATATGTGTGCATTTTTTTTTTGACGCCAGAATTTTCCACTTTTCCCATTACCTTTATATATATACACACACACACACACACAGTATAATTTCGGCATTGTGTGCTGCACACACTGCGGACAATGACGCCACTGAGGCATGTGTAGTCCCCCCTCACCACGCTCATAGCCGCCCGTTTTCCAAAAACCGTTTTCCCGTAATTAACCGAAATTACATGCATATGCCGATGATGTTTTCTCTCATTCGTCCCCTTGCGGTCGGCGGCTTGTACGTGGTTATCATACAATGGCAACGCGCAGACAATAAAACTATATACTTATATATGTATATACATGTATAATATGTATATGTTGTACGTGCTCTCGTTTTTCCCTAGATTACGAGTGCCATGGCAAACGTGTGTGCTCATCGATTCGAAAAATATTAACATTAAAAATATATAACGTAAAATCGAATTCGTGTGTTGTGTACGCGTGTATAATATATATTGTTACTCGCCGCCGCTACAGCAGTTCGGCACTTTCTGGAATCCCTCCCTCCCTTTCCCGGGGAATGTTTCCGACGTAGACGTGAAAAATTAGAAACGCGGAATACGCTRCGTTGAAAATTAAATAATGAAAAAAACCTTTAGGGATGTGGTTTTATATGACGTTTTGAATAAAACTTATTACGTATCTAATCTTCGAAATAGGATTTCTATGTTACATATTATGCATAAATAGGTTAGGTTCAAAGGCATCGAAATCCATAAGTTTTGACCCCGATTTATATTATACGTATCATAATAATGTTATTAAATATGATTTTTGTATTATTATTAAATTAGTTCCCTCTTTACAAGCCCGGATTAAGATAATTTGGGGCCCGGGGACAATAAACAATCTTATTAGGTGAATAACCAAAATATTGGTGACCCACAAATCAATAAATTTCAGAGACCAAAAAAAAAATTATATTTTAACTTAAAAGCAGATGTCTTTAAAAGATGATCTCCTTTCTTCTTTAACTTTACTGAGCATCGCTTAAATACTTTTTACAGCCACTCATAGGTATCCAATTTTTACTTCAAATTTCAATACTTATAAATTAAAAGTTGACAAATTTTATTTGCAAAAAATCCATGAACACTAACCACCGTTAAATCTTTAAATGTTACTACGACTTACACTAAAGACTGTATGACGTACAAGATTTTTACTGTTTTCGTAGAAAAACAACGTAAATAAAATTTGCTGGTTAATAATTAATAATTAATAATTAATAAGTTTATGTTATATATATAACATCTAATAATAATAATGTTTCAACCGTCGTAAATATGCAATCGATGGTATTCACAGTACTCTGGATTCCTATAAATCTAATTTCTTCACCATTATCTGCTAAAAATAGATGATATTAGAATAGTGTAATAATAATAATAACATATTTATTATTCATTATCGATATAGTTAGCCTATAAGAAATTTAATGCATTGTATCCAAATATTTCTGATTTAAAAAAAAATTGAACTATCCACCTGCAGGGGCCGACTATTGTTTAATATCCATTGTAGGCACGGGGCCATAGCCCCTTCTTCCCCCCTCCCTTAATCCGGGCTTGCCTCTTAATCACTAAAATCGATAAGATGTATTTCTAAGATACTAAAATATAATTTTTGCAGGGTACGAAATTAGGTTGATTCTCGCGATCACAATATATAAACAATGTTTATTAAACATAGGTAYTATATCACGCGTACCTACTATATTATATTATGCACTCCAAGATTTAATTTCAGATTATTTTTGTTTTTGCTCGTATWCCCCCCAAAAATTTACGTCTATACATAGTACTTATACATTATGTTTATCGAATTATCAAAGTTTAAGCGTATATAACGTTAAATGATGACAACCCTTTGAATATCTTATGTTTAAACTTAAGAACACACACACACTATTCATATCATCGGCTGTGTCGTGACAAAGTATTTTATCTTTAACTAAACCATGTAATAAATATATTTACCGAACGCGCATGTTTCTCTTGATGAATGTATATTGTGTGTAATGTCTAATGGTAATTATTACTCTTTTTATTTCTAGTGGCATTTTACACGTTACTCTATCGTTCACCGCTTAAAAATCGTAAATCTCCGCCGAACAACCTATACGTTTGAAATTCGTATTCTATTTTATGGGCATTGTTATGTTCCTTAAATGTATTTGTTCGACGTATAATTATAATTGTATGTTATTGGTTAAAAAAATACTCCTACTCCTATGCAAGTGCTTCTCTGATAAATAATATATCGAACATATATCCTAGAAAAAACATCGATTGTGTGTAGGGCCTGTAACTTGATGTATATCATTTTTTATTTTTTTATAATATTCTAAGGCCAGCGGACAAAGTGCACAAATTACTGTTTATCGTAATATCGAATTAAACTCGAAGCTTTTCAACCGACCGCGTTAGCACGATTTAATAACTTGTTTTACACGCATTTTCTCGACGGAAGCATTCAATTTAATCACCTCCAAGAATATTGCCGCTGTACACCTATATTAYATATTTTTCAGTGTCGAAAAAAAAATAATAACAGTTGGAGTGAGGAGGAGATTATGATGGTGTTGGTAGTAGTGGTGATGGTGGTTGCGGCTACCATAATATACAGTATACAGGGCCGTGGGTATAGCTTATACACATAGCGACTAACGTTTTTATCCCCTGCGTGACCTCCATTTTAGAAAAATAATATCACACAAGTTGGCTTATTATTATTATTAAATGTATAATGAAAAGTTAAATTTTATGTATATTAAAATAATAATAACAACGTTTAGTCTGCCGCCGGGTCGCAGCTTTCGGCCACGAAAAGTAGCTGCACTAGCTGTTTTTGCTGCGYTATGGCGACGGCAGTTGTGCTGTTTGACTGGTGCCAGGGGTAGTGTGGTTATATATACATTGTGTTGTTATTATTTTTATTATACTCCTAGACACCTTCCCACCACACCACACCCGTGTAAAGCTAACCTCGTGATTACGTAATGAATTTTTTTTAGCTCATTGTCTACAAAATCGCTGTTGTTGTTATAATTACTCCATTGTTTAAACGCTGTAAACACGGTATAAAATTAAAACTGTATATTAATTAAACGCGTCGTGCGTACATAGTATGTATATGTTTCCATGTATATAATATGTATACACGTATATGTATATATGTATATGGTATATACACAGGGGCGTGTGTTTGTGAACAGGTGTCATGTATTATATTATATGATATTAGTTTGTATGTAAACGACAAAACGGTGGTTGGTTGCGCATAAGATACGCTGATACTGGCGACAGAAAAAAAAAGATAATAATAATGACACAGGCGTCAAATTATATCAACTAGCTACCAACAGGAATGAAAAACTTCTGTTTCATTAGTGTAAAAGCTTTTGAAGAACGGCACTGCAGCGTATAATATACATGTATATAATATGTATACTGTGTATATATATATACAGTATACACGCACGTATACATAATAGTTATAGATATCTCATCATTGTAGACGTCCKGCTTTTTACTGGGCTATTGAATACACTTATATTTTGATAACGCTTTTCTACGATATGTGTATACACCCATAAAGAGTTTTCTGGGACTGCAAGTCCGTATTTCAGCTCTTACTGGACACACAACACGTATTTACATTAATTATATATATGCGTGTTGTGTGTGCCGTGTGTGTGTATGTATATATGTATTAGATATTATGTACTATTTAACTCGCTCTCTCTTATATTTCTGTTTTTTTTTTCTTCTAGCGGGCCTATCTGCTTTTGGTGAAGGTGCAAGTAAGTTAGATTTAATTTTTAACCAACCTTGTAGTTTATTATTCAATACATATCATAATAATATGTGCACATATATAATATGAACGCCTATACCTTTTTAACTGCGAAATTAACTTTCTCATTTTAGCTGTGCTGTATAAATATATTTAAGATATTTACCTAACGCATAACACTTTTGTACTAACATTAATTGATTTATAAAAATTAGCTGTGAATATTTATAAGTGCCTATAGGCTATATTAAACAAACTAAAATTAATAATAATCATTATATTCCCTATTTTYGAATGACATCAAACTTGGTTTAATAATGTTTAAACAATAATTAAATTGTCTTTKAAATTTCTAGAATTGATGAATTTCCTTTKACGAATTCACAATTCCGTGAGTGTATAAAAGTTTTGTTCTCAATTCCAAAAATAATATGCTACCAGTAATTTATTCTGATTATATGTGCATTTATAATATGAATATCATTTTTCGAATTAAAACTTAAATTAAATCTATGATAGGTGCGCCTGTTTAAAATAATAAACATACAATTAGTCACATATTTAAAGTTTTTTTCTCTAACTAAACCTTCCATTGTTAATTTTATACAAACTTCATTATGCGTATAAACAAAATATTTTTTTATTAGTTCATTTACTGGAATGAAATGTTTAATATGAAACAATATTCACTTTTGATATTTTTAATTTTTGTGATATTTCAAAGCTTAAAAAACACATTTTTGTAATTCTTCCAGAATCTAAAATTAAAGTTAATATAAAAATAATAAATTATTAATTAAAATAGTTTTAGTRGAAAAATTAAACTTAATTTCTGTAACTACTTTTACCTATGATATGATAAAAACATATGACATAAATATTTCATTGCAAAACATTTTCAAATACATTTTTTGATAAAATACCACATAATTTGTTTAAAAATGTAGAAAAATGTAGATGATAAATTTATAATTTACATAAAATAGATATTTTTTAGTTCCCTATATTTAATATAACAACATAGTTTCAAATATATTCCAAACAAAATATTTATAATATTTCAAAAAAAAT